TTCATGAAACATCTATATACCATTCATTTATGTTTGTTTATTAAATAAAAAATTATGTTTGTAAATAAACAAACGAACACCAATAAATGAGTGTTTTGTTCGTTTGCGCTCACAAATAAATTTATTTATTATTTCTTTACAAGTTTGTTTATTAACACGTTTATGTATTAATGATGTTTTTCTTATAAAGTAATATTTTCTTCTATTTTTATATATATTTCAATTCATTAATCTAGATATGTATACTTACACCAGTCTAAGTATTTGTTTACTTCTAGGTACCCAAATAGTGGGAGACATACATAGTTATTTCAGTGTATATGTGTATTTATTTTTAGGTACCAGATTTACACTAGTATCAGTATGTATATCTACCACTATCATAACATCTAAAAATAAACATACTTACACCAATATATGTATGCACTTCTTCCACTATTCCTTTTTGAACTTATTTTAGTCACCAATCAATCTAATTTTTAAATTATATTGTTACCAAAAAAAACTTTATCATATGATTAACTTTACGAAATGATTTTATATTTTAAGTAGTGGTACTTTTATAGTTTTATTTTTTAATAAATATTTTTATACAGCATTGGTGAATATATTAATAATAATGTAATAAACTTTTGAAAAGATATACGTCATTGTAATGAAATTTTAGATTTATTATTATTTAATATTTTATAAAATATTTTGTAAAAAATAAAAATAATTTTTAAGGGGTAAAGATTTTTTTAATAGTGATATCATCTTTATTGTTTTATATATTTTATATACAAAAATACTTTCTATAAATAACACCCCTCTTTATACAGTGGCTTCGCCCATGTAAGCATCACAGTCACCGGTAATAACACATCAGCCGTCGTTTTACCCTCACCATTACCGACAAAGTTGGCTTCAAATCAAAAATTAAAAATACAATAGAATAACATAAAAGAAAGAAGACTGGTCAAGGATCATCGGCCGGTGAGTGTCCGTGTTAACCAGATTATTATTATTTATCCAAAAAAATATTTTAAGTTAAAAAAACTAAAATGGTTGGCTAAAAGAAACAATTAAATATTAAACCAAAATTTAAAAAATAAAAAAGGGAAAATCAACAGCTTCGTGCTAATTGCAGTAAAGTGATGCGCTGGGTACATGTTGGGGAGGGCACGTGCCAAGATACGGACCTTCACCCGGTTTTGGAGTTACGATGGGCCCACGGATTCTTGGAAAACCCGAAAATCCGCCTTTGGCCCAATAAGAAAGGGTCGTCGTTTGGAAGATAAGAACGACATAAAACGAGGGCAGCTGGTTCTGTAGACGTGGCTAACATGTATCAAAATCAAGCACAATTATGGTGTGCCTAATGCTGCCAAACACCCCCACGATTAAGCTTATCCATTACTCGAATTTGCCCCCTTTGTTTTGTCCTTGTTGCGAGCTTTCGTGGTCAGTCTTTGGATTTTTTTGAGGGCAATATTTGGATTTTACAAATGTGGATACGTTTGAATTATAACCCACTTTTAAAAGATTAGCGTCGGCCGACTCTCTCCCTCCCCCTCTTCTCCCCCTCCCTTTTTTTTCTTTACAGTTTATGTTATTTCGTATAGATTAAATATTTTTTTTATTTTGTTTAACTGACGGCGGTGGTGATCTTGACGTTGATTATCGATTGTTGATTTTTTTTTTAGATTTTAATAAGAATAATTATATATTTGTGACATGTTTATATTTGTTTTTGTGGTACGTTTTTATATTCTTTTTGGTAATTTTCGGTCACTTTATCGTAATTTCGTTCATATTTTTTTAGGGTTTGATTTAACATCGTCACGACTGATCAAGATGACATTTATTTATTATCGTGCCGATCTTCCTATGATTTGGACCTTCTGATTGATTTTGATACTTATTTTGTATTCGTGAATAGGTTCTCACGTCACTTGATTATGATTTGCTATATGTTGGTGATCTTTTAGTAATTTCATTATCTTTTACGGTTCGTTTGTTGATACAATCAAATTTAATTGTATAATTCTTTATCCGTGCATTTTAGTTAAGTTTGTTTAACTATTTCCTTCTTTGGTTATTGTATTATCTAGGTGACTAATTTTTATGTCAATAATTATAGAAAAATGTAATAATTATAATTTAATTTACGTTTACGATTAAATTTATAAATCTTTATTGTAACTTTAAATAATTTTTATTTTCAATAAAATTAGCGAATTTATATAATAGCGTCAGCTTACTCCCAAACTATCTCGAATTCAACTTATAACGCAAGGTAATATTTTTTAGGGTAAATTGCATATATAGTACTTGATCTATTAGTTTTGATCAGTTTTAGTACTTAAATTTTCAATTTTCTTAAAATCATATTTAAAGTTTAGTTTTTGTTTCATTTGAATACCAAGCTGTTAAAAATTTATAGTGTTTAGTACTTAAATTATTACTTTTGGTCTGCTTTAGTACCTAAACTTTTAATTTTTTTTCAAAATTTAACGTTAACTTTTGAACGAGGTACTAAAATTAAACAAAAGCGGAATATCAATTATTTATAAATTAAAACCATCCATAGGTACGTGTATCCAAATTAACTGAATAAAAACCATCCATAGGAACGTATATCCAAATTAAAACCATCCATAGGTACGTATACATAGGGCTGAGCAACGAAATCGAGAAAATCGAAAAACCGACACGAACCGAGTAAAGCGGTTCGATTCGGTTCGGTTTGGCTTTAAACGGTTCGGTTTTCGGTTCGGTTTAAAGGCTTTATTTTTTTGATTCGGTTCGGTTGGGGTTTTCCATATAGAACCAATTTGTTCCATATTGAACCGAATAGGCATTTTTTGTAAAAAAAATTATAGTTTCAAGTGATTTTTTTTATTGAAAACCCGATAAACCGAATCGAACCGAAAAACTCGAACCGTTAAAAAAACCGAACCGAACCGAAAAAACCGATTTCAGTTTTTTCAGTTTTTTAACTATTCGATTTCGGTTTCGGTTTAAATATTGAAAATCCGTTTATTTCGGTTCTGTTCAATTTTTAGTAAAAACCGAACCGAACCAAATCGAATACACCCCTACGTATACCCAAAACATTAACTGAATAAAAACTCTACGGAAGTTAAAAAGTTTAAGTCCACTGGCTGAATTATATATCCAAATTATTTTCGTAAATAATTAAGGTTAGCTTGAACTGCTTATGACTATTGTTACGGCTCAAACAAAAACACTGCACATTGAATATCAATTATTTATAAATTAAAACCATCCATAGGTACGTATATAGCCAGAGAAATTTAATGTCTTCCTTTTAGTCCTCACTTGGAAATTTTTAAAGGACACATTTTCTTACGTTAGCATGATGTAGTCGTAACTTTGGTATCGAAGTGTCCATCAAAAAATAAAAAAAATATATCCAAACTGACAGAAAAGAAAATACTTACAGATCTGCCATGAATGTATACCAGTTAGGGGTAACGTGGTGGGGATGGACGAATTTTTAGGCTTAAAATCCAACCCATTAATATCATATAAAATTTGATTTATTTTGATTTCACATTAAAAGTATTTTTATTTATTTAGTTTAAAATTTAACTTTATATGATTTAATTTTTAAAATTTTACATAATCTTTTATTAAAGTAAATATGTGAACATGTGAAAAGAATGAACCAAGAAAGAGAAGTGAAATTAACCTATTTAAGAAAGAGGTACAAATTTTTAAATTTTCAGGTGAAGAAAATCGTATAATATATTCTCTTTACGTATTAATTTAATATGATAAAGACTAGAATCCAGTATACGTGGTGAATTTTAGATCTCAAAGAATAATAAATTCCTTAAAAATAAATAGAAACCTAATAAATTATACACAAATACTTTACTATTATTTTATAAATTTTGTTGATTTTTTTCGTATAAAATAATTTTTATACATCATGATATAATTTTTTGTTTATTTTTTATTTATTTAAATATTTATTAGTTTAAATTGACATTCAAATTTTTATTTTGATCTAATTAATACTTATGATAAATAGTTTATCAAAATAAATTTAAACAACAACACCAACAACAAAACTCTATTCTCATATGCAATGGGGTAAGGAGGAGGTAGGGTAGTAGGTTGTCCCCCAACGCCAGGTTGAGAGCAGCTTCTGTGGAAGACCTCTTACAGTAAAAAAATTAAAAATAAAGATAAAATGCAATGCATGTTTAAATAAATAAATAAAATATGTAGTTAAACAATCTTCATATGCACGTCTGTAATATGAAGTAATCAATGCAAATAAACGCAGGACGTAAGTCCACATAAGTCCTTTTATTATCAAAATAAATTTAAATTCTAATTAAATCTACAGATATCTAATTAGATTAAAAAATCTAAATAATAAAATAATTTGATTATTCAGTAAAAAATTAAAATTAGATTAAATTATTTAATTAAATATAGATTTTATCTTAAAATAAAATTCTAATATAAATACATATTTATCCTTTATAATTTTTATATGTAAGCATTGAGATTATTGTAACAGTAAATTTGGAATTTCAGAACGTCGCGTGAGTTTGCAGCTCTCAATCTTTGTGAATGGTGACCCAGCAATGGCTTAATGACTCTGCTCACTGCGGCTGTCAACACTACAACACCCTGTCTAATGCTATGTGTCCCTCACTCATTGGTTGTAGGTCCCATCTCTTTCACACAATCCTCTAAGTCGTCCCTCCTAGTGTTGCCATGTGGTTACCCTCATTAATTTTTTTAATTATTCATAAAGATCATCATTAATCAAACTGATTCCAAAACATGAAATTACAACCTCACCCTTTTCCTCTTTTTCTCGACCAACACGTAACAAAAGGGGAGGGAGCGAGGGACGGAAATGGAAATCCATAAAAATGAAGACGAGTGAATGTTTGCTGTATATGTGGTGCTTAGAGATTTGATTTAGTTTACCTTTTACCTTATCTTCAACAATGAGATACGCATGACTGATTGATTGATTGAAAACCCCAAACGTTTTTATTTAACAAGTTGCGGCCGCTCATAAAACCAAACTCTTTACCTTCATTACTTCGCTCTTTCTGTTTTCCTTTTTCTTTTTGAGTTACAAAAGATGGCATCGGATGAGAGTATGACGGTTGTTTCTTCTATGCTTGAAGATGAATTTGATGATATTGATGTTACGTTTGATCATGATCATCATGCTCATCCACATAACTTGTCCAGGCTTTCCATGTGCACTAGTTCCATGTCGAGATTGTCAATCGAGAGCTTCGATGCTGATGTCGACGAAGAGTTCTTCGACAAAGAAGAATCGGTTCAGCTGTCTTCTGATTCTGATAAAGAACCTGGTTGTTATTCTCTACCGGCGACGCCGCCTCGTCGGAGGAGGAATCGGACCAGGGAAGCGTTGGCTCATCAGTTGATGGGAGTGGTCAAGGATTACGCCAGTGAAAATGAAGCTCTGAAGGGGGGTTTCGGGAGGCCAAAAGGGAGCAAGAATTTGAGGAAGAGGAGGGTTATCAGGGAGAGAGGCGCGGATATGGAGGGTAAGAATGGTTACCAAGAGAAAGGTGAGGATTTCATGGTGGGTTACAGCAATTACAGTGGAAGTTTCAGCGGCGAGAGTGAAGGCGGTAACGGCGCCGGCGTGGTGGTGATCATAAGGCCAAAAGGTGGCAAGAGGTCACTGTGTATGGATTTGGAGGAAGTGAAAGCGTGTAGGGACCTGGGTTTCGAATTAGAACATGAACTCATGTTGGAGATGCCCAGTGCCACTGCAGGCCGTGTTTCATTCTCAGGTTCCACTTTCGACACCGCCAGTAGTGGCGGAGATTCTCCCATTGCCAACTGGCGTATCTCTAGCCCTGGTTAGTTCAAAATCTAATCTTTCATCTGCTTTTGGTGATTTTTTTATTAACATTAAGCATCAACATTTTCAGTACGTCTGATGGGAATTTTTTACTCTGCAATTTTAGGTGATGATCCAAGGGATGTTAAGGCTCGGCTGAAGGTGTGGGCACAAGCAGTGGCGCTTGCATCCTCATCATCATCCAGGCATTGCACTTGACGTCCGAGCTACTCTTAACTATCATAAGCTACTATTTTTGTTTCCCTGTTTTAGCCTTTCTTTCGAAAAAAAATGAAGTTTTTCCGAGGTTTATTCTACTTTTACCACTTCTGTTAGAGAAATTCAGGCACTTTTTTCAATCATGTATAGCTTTTGCGCTTGTAAATATGAATATGATTGGCTTAAACTGGACTTTCTCTTTTCTTTGGTGATTTGATTCTCTATTGTCCGTATTCAGTCTGATTTGTGTTAAAAAGTGGAGAATTTCTGGATGAATATATTTTGTTCCAAAAAAGTTGCACTTAAGAGTTTGGTTCTGCAGATTGAATTTCACTCTGTTTTAACCTAACAAGTCAACATTGTCCCCACTCAAAATGATGATTCGCACAACTTTTTATATATATATACCCAAAGCAATAAAGCAAAGCCTATGGGTTCAAATAATCAGGCTCTTTTATAATTAAGAAAGCAAATGCAGAACTTTAAAGTCTTGCGTCAGCTTGTTTAAAATCAATGCTTTCTGCATCTTCTCCTGCAGAACAAAGGACTTACAATATGGATTAGGCAAATCCCAAACAATAATTAGTTATTCATATTCAGGTAAGATGTTTAAACATCCTGCCCACTACATGTACACACTTATTTTTGTCCGAAATTAATTATTATCATTAAGTATTATTATTATTATTATTATTAGTATTATCATAAATAAAATATTAATATTATTTTGTTTTGTTTATAGGCAGATCCAATGAAGACCCATTACAAATAACCAAACAGTGGCCCAATGCCACACCCCATAAGAGTGAAGCCCACAACAAATACAACCAGGCCCGCCCGGTTTCGGCCTATGATTGAAGCCCAATAACAGACCCGACTGGAGTCCAATGGCATATCCAAAACCCAATTAGGGTTCCATCTCAAGTCCTCAACGCCGCCAATCTACAACCCTAGGATATGAACCCATCAAACGATCCAGATCAATCTCAAATTAGGGTTTACCCTAATACATCTCCATTGTCAACTCTCAAGCAGACCCTAGTTGCTCTCAAGCTGAGCCATGCCCAGCTCCCGTCGCTGTCGTCCGAGCCTCTGACGTTGCCGCCGATTTCAGCTATCCATCACAAATCAATCAAACAAAAGAAAATCAATCAGAGAAGAAAAACAACTAAAAATCTATTGGTACAAAGGAAATACCGAGGAAAATCCAGGGAAATGATGCCCTATCGATAGATCACATCATTTCTACTCGAAAAACACCCATAAATCAACATGCAAGGGTTATTTCGGGGGCGGATTCGGTGGAGCAAAGGGAGAAACCAAAAATAGGATTCGAAACCCAAACTGAAAAGAAAAAATACAAGAGAAAAAGAACGAAAAAACAAAAAAAAAACGAGAGAAAAAAGTGAAAAAAACTCACCTTTTAGCAAGATCTGGTCATTGTAACTTCATCGAAGCAGAGTTTTTACCCTTACCACCGAAGGTAAACCCTTACCTTTTAGGTTTGGGGGTCCGGTTTTAGGTTCGAGATCTTTGGTAGTTTAGGGCGAGAGGTTAGTCGGTTTGGTTTCCAAAGGGATATGAGAGTAAAAGAGGTGTGGTTTGGTTTTTAGACTCTGTTGGGACCACTAATTCATGATGGTCGAACGTTTTTTGGGTTTTTCCTTGGCGGAGGATGTGAGAAAGAAGAGAAAGGTTGAGAGGTTTTGGCTCTATCCCTTTTAGGCCAGAAAAAAAATGAGAGCAAAATAGGGAAATGGTCGTATTTAGGCCTTGGTCTCTATTATATATGTGACATGAAACGGCGTCGTCTGGGAGGGGAATAGGCGAGTGTTGATTGCCTGAATAAACCATTCATGGGTCCTCAATGTTTTGTAAAATTTCCAGTTTATATTTCGAGTTTCAAATCTTGTTATTCATGCATTTCGGTGACTGAAAAAGACTCCAAATCTTTTTATTTGAGCACTCGTTTTGTTGTATTTTCCATTTTAATCCTATTTCTGTTATCTTCCTATTTTTATTAATATTTGACTTTGAGTATGATACTTACTATTTTTATATTTTAGTCATTGTTCTGTTTATTATTGCTTCTAGGTTAAATATCCTTATATACCTGCCGAATTAGATTACATTTCATTTTAGTCATTAAATGGAACTTTTGTATGCTTTAAGCTCCGAATTTTGTTATACTTATACGTTGTTCACTACTTGTTTATTATTTATCTTGGGGTAAATAACTTTTATGTTTAATCATTTTTTATTTAATGCATATTAGTCCATATTTGATTCTTGATTAGTACATTGGTTTAATCTTTGATTTTAGTTGATATTTGTTACCATAGTTCATTTTTTATTCTAGTTTTAGGCATGTTAGTTTTCTAGGAATTTATTTTAGTCATTTTTCTTGCTTATTGATATGAGATTTCGTGGATTCATTGTGTAATTAAAATTTATTATGCTGGTTTAGTCATTTGATTTTATTTTAATTTTTACTTATTCAAAACTATCTAATTAAAATATAATATTATTTTATTCCTTTAGATCTTTACGATTCTTGTAATATCAAATGTTTTGTGTTTATCCATGTATGTTATGTTATCATGTTGTATGTTTATATATATAAATATATATATATTCATTCAATACGTCTTAACCTTGTATATTTGCATAATGTTCACCTTTATGATTTCATTCTATCTTATTTATTTTAGTTTGATTGGTGAAATATTCTTTTGACAATATTATGTGTATCTCTTATATTTGATATTTTTTAGTGGTTTATTCGAACATTTTCGAGAACATTGGTCGTAGAATGAGCATGATAAACATTACATTCTAGAAGTGGTGTGATTCAAAATAGCATTCGAACGAAATGTAAACTCGAAATAAATCGAGTTTTTTTCTTCTAAAAAGTGCTAATTAATTCTTTTTTATTTTAATTCAAAAGATGCAATGCATGCTTCTTTAAGTAATAATTTATTTTATGCAAATGATGATAATCAATTCATATTCGATTTGCGTTTTTTGATAAATCGAAGAGAGAATATTCTTTTTAGACAAGAAATAGAAGAGGCAACATTCCCGTTAGAGGATGAACAAATCTCAATATTTCTTTTCGAATTAAAGGATTTTCCCTTATAAATAATTTGAATCAAATTAATTAAACTTTAACTAATGGATCATATTCTAACTTTATATTCAATTTATAATTTTCACCACCGCGACAATATATAAGCGACTAAGTATCAATTTTGGGCGCTGTGGAGGTGTTTATCATTTCCCACACTAATCGACTCCCGAATCCTAAAAAATAATATTTGATAACGCAAATCAATTTTTGTCTTAAAAACAATTATTCTTAAATTTGTTTTTAAGACGTTTTAGGTATTGGATCTACCTAACTCAAATGTCGATGGCGACTCCTATTCAAATTAATTCAAAATCCCAATTTTCTCAAATAAAATCATAATTGTTTTTTTAAATTTAAATTGTTTAAAAAAAAAGAATGGTTATGACAGATTAATAAATCTAGAAAGGACTTTGGAAAACTATGTGGAATATATTTGAACCCGGAATTTTAATGATACAGGAAGATAGAGAAATAAAGGAATCAGTCCCATACAGAGACTGTCACTGACAAACATCCCTCGTCGGTGCTTAATTTCTTCTTCACTTTCTTGCAAATCATTCCAGAGCATCAAGTGTGGTAACCACAAAATAGTAGAAAAGAAAGGCAGTGGCTACCAAAGAGGCGCTTTAAATGAACGATTTGAAATGCAGACAAAAGGATCCACCATATCTAGCTAGGATGTGGACTTTAAAGTTGTAATTGTTAGTCACTGGCCAAAATGAGATCCCCCCCGATGCACGTGGAGCACATGTAGGTGATCAAGAAGGCAATAAGCTGATTTAGGAGAGTAAATGTCAACCTGTCGACTCTGAGATCGTTATGGTTGATGTAGCATCATCACTGCAGGGGAAGATATTAATTTTCAGTGTCACAGTTGACGTCGAGGGGAAGTTCAGAAAGGGTGCATTAAGTATACCTAAGGTCAAGAAACTAGAAAGAGAGAACATATTTTTCAATGTACTCGACCGCAAATGTGTGGAAGAGTTTGAACTAGTGGGGCTCTAGGGAAACAATTGCATTCTTTTACCTTTAGAACAATGCCTCACCGGTAATTTTATCCAGGATAAATTACCAGCCGTTCGATCAAAGAACCAGTCTCCAACAGACACTGCGATTGTCTGCATATTTATAACAAAATCAAATTTGCAAAAGACACTCGTAAATTTTGACCAATACGTGCTCATGGAGAATCTATTTGCAACGTTACATTCAAGCATTTGAACAAAAAGTTCAGAACTAAGTTTTATTAATTGATGGGACATACAGCGTTTCGAATACGAGGAGAATCTTTCTCATACTATGTATCCTGTATCTGACTGGCAATGAGCAAGTCTATGAAGAAACCATTTTGATTGGACTTTGAGGAACCATTTATAGCGTTGAGCATTTGGTTCCTGAAGTTTGCTTCAACAGGAGAAAGAAGAAAAGAGCAGTTATGGGCAATTCATCTACATTTGACTTGCCATTAAAAAATGGAGTCAAAACATGATAGAAACAAACTTGAAAAGCATCTTGCAGAACTGCATTTGTGATGAGTTACAATGAGCATGATCCCTTTTGCAGTCATGCCAGATGACGCCAGAATCAGTAGACGATGGAATTAAACTCTCTTGGGCCTGAAGGCAGAAGTTAGAGAAAATTGTTATCATACATTAGCTAACGACCTTTCCAGACTGAAGATATTAATTTTTTATCCATATTATTATTATTAAATATTATTATTATTATTATTACTATTATTATTATTATTATTATTATTATTATTATTAAATATATATTAAACATATATATATATAAATAATAATTACAGACCAATTACAACTGGACCGGCCCAGTTACAAACAAACCAGAACCGGTCCAAATCAAATCAGAAACCCTAAACATTTGGGTTTCCAATTAGGGTTTCCTAACCCTAATCTAAACCAGCCGCCTCAGCTTGCTGCCGTTGGATCTGGCAAGATCCAACGGTCCAGATGGCTCCAGAGGGAAACCCTAGGGTTTGATACCCTAGGGCCACGCGGCGCCGCCCCAGTTTCCACGCGGCTGCCGACACTTTCTCGCCGCCTCCGCCGCTGCCACGTCCCAAATGAAGACTCCAGAAGATCAACGCCAGCCGTCCATGCCATGGCTACAGGGTTTGTCACCACTGGTAGTCCGGTGACTCACCGAGACCCCATCTTCGGACTGGTCCGATGGCCACACCGGTGGTGGCTATAAAAGCCACCACCCCAACCTGAAAAAAGAAAACGAAGAAGGAAGACAGAAAAAAAAAACACAGAAAGAAAAAAAAAACTACTAAACCAACGATCTCAGTCAAACATCCAGCAACCAAAAACAGAAGGAAAAGGAAGGAAAGAAACTTACCGAAGAAGCCTCGACCACCGGATCTCGTCAGAACCTTCGAAATATCGAAGGTATTTTTGTAGATTCGCTCCGATTAGGAGCTTTTTAAGGGAAAAGAACATCGGTGAGATCCGGCCACCAAATGCGGTGAAAATAAATTTTTTCGGCCACCAAATGCGGTGGCCGGCGGTTGCATTCACGGCGGCACACGGTGGCCGACCGGTGACCGGCTTCCCTCCGATGAGGGAAGCTAGAGAGAAGGCAGAGAAATTTGTTCTCTCTCAGTTAGAGAGAGAACAGAAATGAAAAAATGAAGGCTGGCCCTTCGGGCCAGCCGGTTTTGGACCATATATAGGCCTTCCCGAACGACGTCGTTTCGAGAAGGACTATGCGCGTAATTATAGAATAGTTAAACCACGTCCGCAGTCATCCCAATTTGTAAACTTTACATTTTAGTCACTAAATCAAATTTATAATCCTTTTAATTTGGTTCTTTAATTTTAATTTTATTCATTTTAGTCCTTTATATTAAAATAATATATTTAGGATAAATAGCAGATTTAATCCCTTAATTTTAATAAATAATATTTTAATCCTTAGTTTATATTTTTAATTTATTTTATTATAATATCCGAATTTTAGATAATTTTATTTTAGTCACTAAATAAATAAAATAAAGAAATAGCATGTTTAATCCCTAATACTTTGATTAATATTGAATTAAGTTTTTAATTTTACTATAATTTAGTCATTTAATTTATAAGTTTTCATTTATTTTATTGCTTTTAAAATATATTGTTTTAGTGGTATTTTTATTGTTTTAATTTTATTTGTTTATATTTTTAAATATTTTTATGTATTCATAAATATATATATAATAAATCTGGAATAAATTTTTTAATGTTTATTTTTAATATCGAAGAAAAGGACAGTCTTAATACAACTGGATGTCCTATTCTGATATTTTTTAAACAATATTATTTAAATTAATATTTATCAATATCAAAGAAAAGAGCTGTCTTAAGGCACCTAGAAGTTCTTTTCTGATATTTTTAAATAAATAAATATTTTTTTTATATAATTTTGAAATAATAGGATTATAAATTAAATATATTTTTGAATTTTTATAATTTTAATAATAGAGACAATTTATAATTAAAAAGTACAAATTTTGGGCGTTGTAGGGGTGCTAATCCTTCCCTAAACGTAACCGACCACGAATCCCTTTTTATTATTAAGAACGAATTTTTGGTTATAAAACGCAGATCAGTTCATTTTTTTTAATTGATGTTTTTTTTAAAAACTCTTTTAAAAGAAAAATTTTTAGGTATTCGACCTACCTGATCCAAAAGGTCGATGGCGACTCACAAATTATTTTCAAAATTATTTATTCACATCAATTTCCCCGCCAAATTTAATATTTCGTGCCCGGACGAAAATCGGTTACGACAGCTTGGCGACTCTGCTGGGGATGGTCAAACTTTTAAAAATCAATTATAAATTGTCTCTATTAATTATAAATCATATATTTAATTTATAATTTTTTTTTATATATATACATATTATTTTTATAGTATTTATATATATATTATTTCATTTTTTATTTACAAGTATTCTATTTCATTATTTATTTTCTGTCAAAGGTTTGAACATTTCTCCTCACACACAATACTTGCATTGCATAACATAAAGCTCTATAATTGAGTTGTCCCTTTTAAGTGGGAGTGAAAGCGACGTCTTCGTGAGAATTTATTCTCCGTGTCATACCTAGCAAGTAACTTTCGGGGTTCATATGCTCTATGTCTTCGTGAGAATTTATTCTCCGTGTCAGGCATAGAGAAATGTATCCCCTCGAATTGAACTCGATCCACTTTAGTCTGTGATGGACTAGGATTGAGGGTTAGCAACCCAAGGGGGCACTAACAAGGACAATTCGGGTACCTTGATTCTTAGATCTGAAACCTTGCATATAAAAAAACCTTAGAAACTCTTCCGATCAGAAGTCATGCCGAAATTTTGTCCAAAATAGGTGTACACACAGGAGAAATGAATTCTGACTTTCCTATTGTTTAAATTACATGTTTATTTAAATTATTTAAATTCAGAAAAGCATGTTTAAATAAAGAATATTTATGTAAATGTTATTATTGAATTTTTTATTATGTAAACTAATTTATTTTCTTTTTGTGTGTTCTTTATTTTTCTGTTTGCATAGCATCATACATGATAAAAGGCATTGATCCTTGTGTTAATTGTCTCATTGGAAAGCCTTCATCTATGGATAAAAAGTGTTCAAATCAAGTAATTCTAAACTCAGAAGTACGACAGTGGGCTGAGGACTTACAAAGACAAGAAGGAGATAGTCTGCAGGATGATTATGTATCTGACTTGGCCAGTTATGCTCCAGTTTCACTAAAAAGAAATGATACACAAGATTTGCGAAGCATTTGGGAAAGTTGGGATTCAAACAAAAAATTGCAGTTTTATCAGACGTACGGAGACATCTCATATTTGCTCTATGTAGAAGTTGATGATGAATTACTCCGAGCCCTAATTCAATTCTGGAATCCATGGTATAATTGCTTCACTCTCAATAAAGAGGATTTGGTCCCTACTATTGAAGAATACACAACTTTGCTACATATAGATGGGGTTTTGGAGAATCGAATCTATTCAAAGTCAATTAAAACTCAACCCTTTCGAGTTAAATTAGCAAAGATTGCTGGGGTACGAGAAGAATGGGTGGCATCCCGTACAAAACAAAAAGGCGAAAGCGAAGGCATTGCTTGGACCAACATTAGAGAAATTATTCAGAGCCATCCAGATTATAAAGTACGATTCGATTTATTTGCTCTGGGTATATATGGTATGGTCATCTTCCCAAAAGTATTGGGATATGTTGAAGCTGCAGTGGTAGATTTGTTTGAACAGCTACCGAAAAAGATTAATCCTGTTTCTGCAATCCTAGCAGAGACCTTCAGATCGTTCAATACTTGTAGAAGGCTAGGAGGTGGACGATTCTCAGGGTGTACCCAGTTGTTATATGTTTGGATCCGTAGTCATTTCTGGAGGACAGAAAAGGTTTCATACCGACGCTTTAATACGGATTATTCACCATTAAAAGAATTTCTGGAGCAGGAATGGCCTAAAGAAATTAAGAAAGATATGTGGATTAATGCCTTTCGAAACCTGCAAAGCAATGACGTTGTTTGGCGAGCCCCGTGGCAAATACAAAGGGAATTCTTTTACAGGTGTGGTGATTACAACTGGATAATGCTGCTCGGATTATGGGGAGGAATTGGATATGCACCACTTCTGGTTATAAGACAGTATGAAGGTCGTCAATTTGTACCTATCACTGCTGGATTACAGTCATCTGAATTCGCATTCCACAGCAAAAATTATAAAAGAAATATCATGGAAGCCGTTACAGCTTGGAAAACAACTTTTTGTATCCGAGCTAAAGCAGCAAAAGAAATGCTAACTCCTGATTATGAAGATTGGAGATCTGTCAGAAAAAACGAAAATATTCCTCTACCAGATCAAAATGAGGATATTTCTATGGAAGATCGCATTAAGGTGGTTCCATCATAGATTGAAATCTTGAGAGCTGAGTTTGAAGCAGAAAGAGAAGGCTGGTCGAAAGAGTTAGAGCAAATGAGACAAGATAAAGCTATGTTGGGGGTTGACATTGACTTTCATTCATCACAATGTGCAATGTTGAGAAAAGATAAAGAAAAAGGTGAGGATGAGTACAGAGCCTTACAGAAAAATTACCAGGAGTTATATAAATCCCGAAAAGCATCAGGACCCAGCCAATCGACGGTACAGATGACCAGAGAATTGAATATCGAGAAAAGACGAGTTGAAGATCTGAAAGGAAAGAATAGCCGTCTACTCAAAAGCCTTGAGAAAGGAAAGCAAAAAATGGAAGATTTTGAGGTCGACAGAAGAGAGCGAATTATAAAACACAAGGCTGAACACCGCGAGATCATGAATGAAATGCATAGAGAAAGGGATCGAGCCAAAGATTTAGAAGAGATGAAGAATGACATCTTTAATAAGTTTGAAGGTGAGAAAAATATCATGTTCAAGGGATTTGAATTTGAAATGAACCAGTTGATTGCTGAACTTGAAGTCAGAGGCCAAAAGATGGAAGAATCCAATATTGAAAAAGAAAAATGGGAGCTAGAAAGAAAAAATTTCAACACCAGACTTGAGGTAGAGCAGAAAGTGGCTAGCAATTGGATGCAAAGATGCAGAAACAAAGATG